CTCTCGCCCTTTCACTGTTTTGTCATCCTATAGGCATATTTTTAGCTAAATACTTTTTAAAACATGACCCAGGCATTTTTTCAAGCACTTTATATACATTATCTTATTTAATCTTCATAGTAACACTGTGAGATGAGTATTATTATCACCATTCCACAAGGACCTACTAAAGCTCATAAGTTACTAAACTTGACTAAACTGTCTCATAACACGTTCTCAGGCTCTTAACAAAATAGAGCCAGAGTTCAAATGTGACCTCTGATAATGGCTTGAGATTCTGACTTCTTAGCTTTCTGGAACCTGTGAGCAGTTAGTCAGCACGGGGGAACCTGAACCTCTCAAATATCTAGCCAATTCTGAGCTTGGTGCCTGGAGCACAGACCCCATCCAAACCCTCCTCTCATTTGGGACATTCAGTTTGCATGCCCCACACACTGCAAGTCATCACAGCCCCAGTTTTCACATGCGCACTAAGTCCTTGAGGTCATCCTAGCAGCTACCAGACCCAGTGATTTCCTAGGAAATCACTTCCACCTTACCCCAGGTCCCTTTACCACAGGCCTAGCTGTTTGTACAGTTACCAGAGCACCCTGTTGGTTCCTCTTTATCTCCAGGGTCTGAGGAAGACGTGTGCACAGCCAAACTGTACAAAACCACCATCCCTCTCAGGCGCTACCTCACCTTTACTCCCAAGGATGGCTCCCAGGCCTAACCCCTTCCCTTTACACACAGGACATTCAGAGCCCTGATGTGACGGGCGCAGGGTCACACAAATCACCCTGTTGAACCTTTCCAGCCCTTCCACCTCCCTCTCAGTCCCTGCAGCCTCAGAACCTCTGCCTCTTTCAAGTGCTTAAGACACATACCAAAACAGCAGCCACACACTGGAACGTCCCCGTCCACTCTCAGGGATCCCGACCCTCTATTTCCTTGGGAGCAGGGGTCTCAGCACCCTCATGTCGCTGAGGGCTTCCGAGCCCCGCCTCCCAGTCAGTCTGGGGTCCAGGTGCCTTAGAGCGGTGAAGGATTTGATTTGATGTCAGTGACTCCCCCGAGCCCCCAGCCAGCCCCTCTAAGGTTGAGTTCTGGTCCCTATTCCCCACAACCATCAGGGCTCCCACCGCTGCGATCATACATTCGCAGGATCCTCCCCACACACTCCATTAACACCCCTACAGACAGAACACACCACCCCAGAAAAACTGACCACCGCTCCTCTACCCCCAACCCTGAGTACTCACCACTTGGTAAGCACGCCGAATCCAATCTCTTCCCAACTAGGACTACAGAGACTGGGACTCGCTCCTCCAGGCCCGCCCACCCGCTGGGATGCCACGCCCCTCAAGCTTATTGGCCTAAGGGCGCGGATCCATGCCCAACGCCTCGTGCCTTCGCCAGGCCTCCGCTCAGCCACCATTGGCGCCGCCCGCCGCCATCATCTCCTCATTGGTCAATTTACCAATCCGCAGTGACAAATTCACGTTCGGGAGGGGCCGCACCCGGCGCGCATTGATTGACAGAAAGCCGAGCCCACAACCACTTCCGATGTTCCTATTGGCTGTAGCAACCTGCCTGGGTCGGTGACGCACATGCCAGCCCCTCCCTCCAAACTTTCTCATAGGCTGAGAGGTCTTGGAGCTGTAGAGAACACGTGCCGACGATCTCACGCGGCAACTTGTTTACCCAGAAGCTGGGGATTTTCCTTGACACGCTTACTCAAGGCAGTGGAGTCTGCGCAGGCGCAAGGAGTGTGACCTGCACGCAGGCGCTGTTGGGTTCAACGATGGCTTTGATGGGGGCGCTCTGTGCCGAGACCCCAAGAGAGGTCCCAGGGTGAAAAGAGCGCCCCGCCCCCTTCCCCAGCATTGGGACGGCTCCCAAAAGCTGGAAGGTGTGAGCTTTAGGGTGAAGAGGTTTTAGATCAGTGCCGCGTATGAGGCTGATGATAACAGGCTCCTAGATTTCCTATGGACCAGGCTAGGTGCTTCTCACAAACGCAGAGCAGGCCGGCTTACTTACTACCCACTGCTTCACAAATGAGATTGAGATCCAGAAAGATCACATAATCCGCTCGGGTTCACACTAGTCAGCAGATTTGAACCCATGTCCCTATCACAGGAGTGGGCAACCCATGGCACGCCAGTAACTTTTGCTGGCACGCAAAACCCTCTTATAATCTTATAATCTTCCATTTACAATTTTTTTCTTAATATTGGCTTTATTTTTCAGATAAATTCAGTGTAGGTGCATCTTAGATAAGTAATTTTACATAACAAGTTATCTTAAAGACCATAGACATGGGTTGACAAGAGAGGGGAAGAGCAATTTCTATGCCTCTGCCTTAACTCTCCCTGCCTTCCTAGATCCGACCAGTGTTTTGGTTTCATCCACATACGTTTGTGAATCTTTGTTCTCAGTGATGAATTTTGTTAAGTCTTGTAATAGGAGTAGCCTGACAGATGAAAGTAGTAGCTCGTGCATATCTCTGAAGGTCACGAAATATAAACCTGATGTAAAATCTGTCATCAGTGATGCACCAGCAAAAGTCCCACTGATAATATCAAATGGAGTCATAAAGTTTTCTGTCAGACTATCAGACTACATTAAAAAATAAATGTCTTTTTCATCATCATATACTGTGTTTTTGTCGCTCAAATGAATTTTATTATTTCTTCAAGGTTCTTCACATACGTACACCTTAAGAGATATCAAGTTAGGCGTAACATGTTCTCAAAAAATTAGGGTTGGCATGCAGAATTTTTTTTAAAAAATATATTTTATTGATGTTTTTACAGAGATGAAGGGAGAGAGATAGAGCGTTAGAAACATCGATGAGAGAGAATGAGAGAGAAACATCGATCAGCTGCCTCCTGCACATCTCCCACTGGGGATGTGCTCGCAACCCAGGTACATGCCCCTGACCGGAATCGAACCTGGGACCTTTCAGTCCACAGACCGACGCTCTATCCACTGAGCCAAACCGGTTTCGGCGGCATGCAGAATTTGAGTCAGAGATTTTGCTGGTTTTGGCACGCACTCACAAAAAGGTTGCCCACCCCTGCCCTAGCACTATGAAGACAGATCCTAGGACCTATGGGAGCCCTAAACCTTGAAAGTATTCAGTAGATGAAATGCGAAAAAGCCCTGAAGACTAACTGGAATATAATAAACCGTCAATAAATGATAACAACTGTGTACCTAATTATAAGAATCACCTCAGCCCCTTAGAACTGCTGCATCAGAATCTCCAGAGAAGAGGCCCAAAAATCTATTATTTGTCCTGGCTAGTTTGGCTCACTGGAAACAGCCTATAGACCGAAGGGTCCTGGGTTTGATTCCTGTCAATGGCACATGCCTGGGTTGCAGGCTCATCCCCAGTAGGTGTGCAGGATGTTTCTATCTTTCTCTCCCTTCCTCTCTGAAATTAATAAAATTTATATTTTTTAAAAAATCTATCATTTAGCCCTGGCCAGTTTGGCTCAGTGGATAAAGCATTGGCCTGCGGACTGAAGGGTCCCGGGTTTGATTCTGTCAAGGGCACGTGCCCCAGTTGTGGGCTCCATCCCCAGTAGGGGGCATGCAGGAGGCAACTGATCAACGATTCTCTCTCGTTCACTGATGTTTCTAACTCTCTCTCCCTCTCTGAAATCAATAAAAATATATATTTTTAAAAATCTATCATTTATTTATTTATTTATTGTTAATCCTTACCAGAGGGTATTTTTCTCCATTGCTCTCCCTAGAGTGGAAGGGGGTGGGGGAGAGAAACATCATAGACTGGTGGGGGATCTTACCCATGCTGGGGAATCAAACCCAGGAACCTTTGGTGTGCAGGCCAACCCTCTAACCACTGAACAACAGGGGCCAGGGCATAAAAAATATTTTTAAAAACATTCCTAAAAAAATAATAAAAAATAAATTTTTAAAAAGCATTCCTGATAGTTCTTGGGAGCCAACAAATTTGGGAAATACTATCTAGGTTGCCTGCAGCCCAGAGAAATCAGCCCCCACTAGCTCTTCTAGCATTCTCCACCCATTGTTAATGGCACTGAGGACAAGAATGCTAGGGTGCCACATTAGGGACCAGAGTCTGGTGCCCAACAACAGAGTGCAGGGGCAATAGGCCATCTCTAACCAGTTCCTCACCACCCTCAGCTGGGTCTCCTTAGGCTGATTTGTTAATTGAGAGAGATCAATTTGTCGTTCCGCTAATTTTGCATTCATTGGTTGCTTCTTGTATGTGCCCTGACCAGGGATCAAACCCAAAACCTTAGCATATCGGGAGGACATTCTAACCAACTGAGCTACCAGGGCAGGGCCTTGTTCAATAAGTATTTATTAACCCTCTGGATGCTGGCACTGTGCTAGGCACAAAGGGGAAGAGATATTTCATAGAAGTTGGCCATTTACTTCAGGCCTAGTAGTAAATGACTACAGAAGATGACTGCACAGCATCTGTGAGTTAAATCAACGGGTAGCCCTAACCGGTTTGGCTCAATGGATAGAGCATTGGCCTGAGGACTCAAGGGTCCCAGGTTCGATTCCGGTCAAGGACATGTACCTTGGTTGTGGGCACATCCCCAGTGGGAGGTGTATAAGAGGCAGCTGATCGATGTTTCTCTCTCATCGATGCTTCTAACTCTCTATCCCTCTCCCTTCCTCTCTGTAAAAAATCAATAAAATATATATTTTTTAAAAAATCAAGGGGTAAAAGAAATCCAACAAAGGACAAGAGCATACCCTCAGGCAAGGGAAGAGGGAAAACTGGGAAACTTAGACCTCAGGGTTCACCAGGGTGAGACAAGGGAATCATCAACACTTCCCATTAAGGCTTGGTGCCCCCTGATGGACACTTTGGGAATCACACTTTGCCCTGCCCAAGGTCAGGCCATCCAATAAAGCTCAGTTCCTTCCCAATGTATATTCTTAACATTCCTGCTAAACCTGAAGACCCAGTACCTTTCCTACTGGTTAAGAAAAAATCTTAGAACAGACACCACTTACTCATTACACATTTATTGTACATTTTCACAATCTGGATGCGCACAGAATTGGGGCATGGAGTGAGGGAAGCGGGGAGGCAGGGGACACTGGGATAATATGGGGGGATCTAGAGCACAGCACCCCCACCCCCAGCATCTCTCCCTACCCTTTCACACAACAGTTTAGATCTCCCTGCTCCCTGTCCACACAGAAACCTTGAGTGTGGGGGGAAATGTTTGGGGGGGTCCCCTCCAGTGACAGTTTAAGGGACTGCACCCTCAGACCCCCCCAAAATTGTGCCATTTGAAAAGACATTAGATCCTTCCTCTATCACTTCACCTAAGGAGGAGACAGGTCTCTCTCTGGGCTTGACCACCCTGGAGAGGGGCAAGAACCCTCATCTTCCAGCAAATCCCACACACATTGGCAGTGACTAGTACCCCCCCGCCCTGAATTCAGGGGGGGCAGTCAGAGGAGCTGGGCAGTGAAGGAGGCAACACCCTCCAAACTGGGGAGGAGGGTTTTCAGTCCAATCCCCAGCAGGGGTGGGGCCAGAGGAGACTTCCAGCAGGAATTGGGGAGATTCTCTGCCCTGCTCCACTCCTCTCCAAGGCAGTGATGACCCTTCAGACACTGGCAGCCACCTCTCCCAAAAGAGATCAGATTGTGGCCAACCCCCAACTCTCCTAGTGGGCGGAGGAGGGGGAAGATCAGGCAGATGGGAGGGGGGGGGAGACCCCATGGGAATGTCAGTTGAGCGCCCCACATGAAAACTGGGGATCAGGAATGTGGGGAGAAACTTCAAGTGGCAGAAATATCGGTCCATCATAACATACTGAACTCCAAGACACTTACACACCAGCTCAGGGGAGGGAGAGGAGGGGACAAGAGGTTTGGAAAAGAGGGGGAGCAGAGGCAAACTGGACTAGAGGGGCTCGGAAGGGATGATTCTGGGGGCCAGAACAGCCTGGCTTCCCAAAAGCCCAGGCTCCCCAACACCTACAATTAATGTCATGCAAATGAAAGTGTGATACAAGGACCAGTGGGGACTAACTCCTCAGTGAAAAAAAAACACACAAAAACACAGGTTGAAAGAATGAACAGAGTGATGTAACAAAAAAGAAGGAAACCAAAAGGGTTGCCAGTATGCACATGAGTGCTAATTAACATGCTGGAAGCTCCCAGACCTTGGGATTCTTAGGACCAAGTGGGGCCAGTCTCAGAGCCTCCCAAATAATGCAAAGAAGATGCACCTAGGGAGGCCTGGACAATTGCTTTTTGTTTTGTTTTGTAGGGGGGTGAAGATATGGGGGAGGACAGGGAGGGAGGAAGGATCAGCTAAATCCAAGGAAAGGAGAGGAAGAGGGACTATTGCATAGCAGATGCAAATGAAGGGACTTGGGGCTGGTCAGGAAAAGAGGGGAGAGGAAGGAGGGAAAGAAAAAGGCAATGGGAACTGAGGAAGGGGTGTTAAGGACAACCGGAAAAATCTTCTAGTAATAAAACTACAAACAGACCAAATATATATAATATTATATATGTATAAATAACAGCTGGCTATTTACAGGAGGGCACACACACGGACACACACACAGATGGGGGGGCTGGAAGATATGGCTGAGAGGTGGAGGAGCGGCTGGGGATGGGTGGGGGGAGAGGCCCTTCTCTGGGCTGGCTCCTCAGGGGTTTAAGAGCTGAAGTAAACTATAGAGAAGGAAAGAGAAGGAAGAGGGAGAGGGGAGAAAGAGAGGAGAGAAAGCAGTGTGTCAGGCCTGGCCCTGCTCCCCCCCTACCCGCTCCCCAGCTGGCTGACAACCCTTCCCCTCTGGGACTCAGGTTCTCACCTGTCAAGCAAGGGGGCTGGACAGGTGGGTTCCAAGGTCTCTTCAACCCCACGGTATGGCCTTGGGGCAGACCAGACCGGTAGTGCTCTGGGCCTCTTGAGACCACAAGCTCTTAAACAATTGGGTGGTTGGCTTCCTAGCCATGTCCAAGCCCAAGGGCCTTTCCTGCTCTCCTACCCCCCAATTCCAGGGTTCCCAGACTGGGGTCTTAGGCCCAAAATGTCCTCAAGAGAGCAGTGGGATCCACCAGCTTTCCTGTTTCCAAAAATCTTAATAGAAATTGCCCACAACCAGGAAAAGTGCAGACTAAACATCATCAAGGTCTGGGCTCTAGATGAATCAGAACTGCCATTGGCAGCTTTATATGCTTTATGCTAAATCGTAAAAACTAGGTTAATGATCTTCAAAACCCAGAACTTAGAGGGGACCTCTCACCAAAGGGCCCTAGCTACTCCCGGCCTACTCACCGATGATGATGATGAGGATGATGGCGCAAATCACTCCCAAGATGATCATCATCTGGAGGGGAGATGGGAGGGTCAGTGAGACAGACCGTGACACCCCCATTCACCTCCAGTCCGACCTGCTCCACCCTTACCTTGAGGTTTTTCCACCAGTATTTGCGCTTGAGCTTGGCTGCACTTGTTTCAAACTGGGAGGCCCCTGCCTGGAGAGCATCCGCGCGGTCGTCCAGCTCCGACAGCTTCTGGTCCCGCTCCAGGACCTTGTCCACGTTCACCCTCATGATGTCCACCACCTGGGAGGGGAGCCCCACGAGGCAGGGGGTGTGCCAAGGCCCACCTCAATGAGGGCACTCCCGGACCATGTGCCCACATACAGAACATGCACCCCGACGTCTCCAGGTTAACATGCCAAGGGCGCGCACAGAACATGCCTGGCACACCTGGGGACATGCAAGGAGCACGCATCAGGGGCGGCATGCCGGCGGACACCCCGGATGTCCTAGCAGCACCTTCTTCTATTGGCGGCGTTCCAAGCGGCCGGGCCCTGGCTGAACCGCCCCGGGCTAACGAGGCTAACCCTCCGAGCGCACGCGGGCAGGAAGGGGGCCTGGCGTCTTTGTTCCAAAACTCACCCATCGGAACTGTTGTCACCCCCACGTCCAAGGGGACCCCACACTAGTTAGCCAACCGTCGGGGTCCTCCCTTCCCGCTGCCGTGGGCACCCCCCGCCCCGACTCACCTCGTCCACCTGGGCCTGAGTCTGCTGCAGTCTCCGGTTACTGGTGAGGTTTGGAGGGGGCCCGGGGGGACCCCCCTCCCCGGCCGGGGCGGCAGGGGGGGCGGTGGCTGCGGTAGCCGACCTGAGGGGCGGAGACGGATTAAGACCCAGGGCCCCGATCCTCCGGCCCCGCAGTCAGGGCTCCGCCCATCCGCCTGTGCATCCCTCCCGCCCTCCCTCCCTTTTTCCTTCCCGGGAGGAAGGCCACCCAATGCGGCGGGCCCCGGATCCCGTCCGGCCTCGCTGCCGAGACGCGGCGTGACCTTGAGGGAAGCCCCCTTCCCCCTCCAGGCCTCGGTTTCCCCGCCTGTCAAATGCGGGCAGCCTCGCAGACATGGTCCGGGGGCGATTCGAAATGACGGGCGGCAGCGATGACAGGGGCGGGGCGGGCGGGCGGGCGGACGGACACCGGGTCCGCTCCCTCCGGCGGCCACCGCCCGCGCGCTGTCACGGGTGCTGGCCTGGTCTCCGGGCGTGCGGAGCGCGAGGGGCGCGGGTCGAACCCGGGCCGGGGGCCGGGCGGCGGTCGGCTCAGGCCGGCCCGGGAGGGGCAAGGGCGGCCGACTCACATGGCGCGGGCAGCGGGCGCAGGACTTGGCGGCGGCAGCGATGGCGGCGGCGGCGGCAGCTCGCGCTGGCTCCGACTGGCGCTGGCTGCCGGGGACGGGAAGATGGCGGCCGCGCGTCACCCACATCCGGGCACTGCGGGCGGGGGTGGGGCGCGGCGGCGACTGGCCCGGAGCGGGCCGCGGGGGCGGGGCGCGGGCGGCGGGGGGCGTGGCCGCGGGGCGGCGGGCCTGGCGCAGCCGTGCGTCCCCGCGCCTCCCTCCAACGGCCTGCCCCGCGCCCGCGCCCGCCTGCCCGGCCCGACCGGAGCCGCACCGCCGCCCCCGCAGCTCGAGGTCTCGCCCTGCGCCTGGCGGCCCGCCTTCCGCCCTGGGCCTGGGCCGGGGGTGGGAGAGGAGGAAGGGCAGGTGCAGGCCCCGGCCATGCGGGTGGCTGGGACCCTCTGCTGCCGGGGCGGCGTCTCCCCGGGTCCCTGGATGGAGTATGAGTTACCCCTGCTGACATCGGGGTGCTGCTGGGGGTACTTGGCAGGCGAGGCCGGCGGAGGTGGGCCAGCTTAGCACCAGGGAGGAGCGGGAGGCTGCGCGATGGGCTGCTGCCCGCATTGGTGGCTGCAGACTGGCCAGCAGAGGAGGGCTCAGCCTTTTCTCCTGAGCACTGGGCTGGGCCAGAAGGGACAAGGTTTTTGTTTTGTTTTGCTTTGCTTTGTTGTTATTTTGGTGGAAAGAACAATAGGCAAAGGGGGCGCCTGCTGTCCGCAGGTTAGTGGACCTACTTTACGCGCGGATTAGTCTCCTAGATGTGACCTTGGGCAGTTCCCATCCCGGTCTCTGGACCTAAAATACATTAGCTGTGTAAGCACTAAATATGTGTCTGTTAAATGGCTTGAGCTGGAACACGGTGCAGAAGATGATCCGTGCCCCTTCCATGCCTGACTGATGGCTCCTTAGATCCTGTGAACATACCCTGCAGCTGCACAGGCCCACCCAGCTCCTCCCCGCAGGCCCCGCACTTCGGCCCGGAGGAAATGGGAGCAGGGAACGGCCATAGGCCCTATGCAGGTTCCACGATGCAGAAGGGGGCATCTTATTGGAGCCCTAGTGGGGGTCACTGTGCCCCTGGAAGAGGAGAAGGGGGGAGGCTGGTGGCCTTGGCCTCTGAGACAAGAGCCAGCTTCTTCGCTCCCCCCCCACACCCCCCCCCCCCGCAGGCTTCCCAGGGCCTCCAGCTGTGAGAACCTCCCCCAGGCAGCACCCACCCCCTCCCAGCAGACGCCTGGGGACTGGCTGTGTCACCAGAGGTGTCCTTTCCTAGCTGGGGCAGGAGGGAGCCGATGGTTGGGTGTGGGGACTCAGCAGAGCTGGATAAAATGCTCTCAACCCCCTCCTCTGTGGAGCAGCCCCTTCGCTGATCCTTGTGCACTGACACACAACGTCTAGTGGCTCAACCTATGTGAAAAGGAAGAAAAGAGTGGCTCCCATGATGGCCTCAGATCCCACTGTGGGGGGCTGGCTCTTGCTTTTTGGTCCTGAAACTACTCCACTCTCTAGCCGGTGAACAAACATACCAAATTCTAAGCTTTTAAGTTCAAAAGCCACAGTACCTGGGGGTGAGACAGGAAGTTGGAAGGAGGTACACACAGGCACATCCCCTCCCAACTCTGCCCCAACACCCTCCCTGCACTAGCTGTGAAGCTAGCCGAGGACTAGACAAGGAGGTAGACACTGGTTTAGGCCTGGTCTCATTTCCACTGGTGGCGGAGTCCAGAACATGAAAGAGACAGAACCTGAGATAAATTCCATGCGGCAGGGCCACTGCGGGGTGTGGCGTGGAGAGCTGGCAGTTGCTACTGGACCCTGGTGGGAGCAGCCCCAGAGCAGAAATGAGGGCATGTGTGATCCATGGGGTCGGGACTGGGAGAATTTCTCTCGGAGAATTCTCACTGAGCAGCACCCCCCCTCCCCGGCCCCAAACCTGTGCTGTGGTGTTAAGGAACTCCCCAAATTTAGATCCATCCGTGGTGGAGGTAGGAGAAGGGGAGGTGAGGGATGACCTGGAAATGATTGAGGGAATGAGCAGGTAGAATGGAGACCCAGATAAGGGTAAGTTGAACTAAAGGAAAATAAGGTAACGTATTTGTATAACTGAGATCTGGCTTCTACATTTACCTGCTTCAGGGCCTGTCAGCTGAATCTCTGGGCCCCACTGCGGGAGGGCCCCAAGTACACCTCCAACAAGCACCTCTGGTGATTCAGATGTAGTTGACGCTTAATAAAGGTTTTCATTTCTTGTTTTTTCCCTCTCCTAACATAACTGCCTGAGAAGATGGGACGAAAGGGGGCTGGGCCATTCCACACTAATGAACTTGCTCCATCCACGTGAGTCAAACCAGACCAAAATAGGCATTCATTTCAGAGACCCTGTGTGTCCCTCAACACAGCATGTAGATCAAGGCCTTCTAGTTAGGAATAGTGCTTGGAATGCAGACCCAGGGGCTGCACCACCACCATCCAATCAGCTGCCCAAACTCCGTGACCTGACGGAGCCCTTTGGAGCTGCCTGCCAAGCCCTGGGTTCCTGGAGAGGAGAGGAACTGCCAGGGACCTGCTGTATGCCAGAGGCTTTACGGAGATTGCTACAAGTGCTCAGTTTCCTAATGCAAAAACAATGTGACTGCAATCTCCTTGCAAAATATTAAAATATTACACATAAAGCTGAGGCTCCCTGGTCACCTCCCAACTCATTTGTCATTTTCTTTTTTTTTAATTTAACTTTCTGGAAGGTTTCATATATCCTCCTTTTTTGGAGGAAAAAATTTTTTGTTGTATTTATTTTTTTTTATTTAAAAAATGCAATATCTTTTCTTATCTAGGGATAATGATATTTTTAAAATTCAATATTAGATTTTATTTACTTTTAAAATAATTTTCTTGCCCTGGCTGGTTTGGCTCAGTGGAGAGAGCGTCAGCCTGCAGACTGAAGGGTCCCAGGTTTGATTCCGGTCAAGGGCACATGCCTGGGTTGTGGGCTCGATCCCCAGTGTGGGGCCAGCAGGAGGCAGCCAATCAATGATTCTCGCAGCATTGATGTTTCTATATCTCTCTCCCGCTCTCTTCTTCTCTGAAATCAATAAAAATAGATTTTACAATAATTTTCTTTTTAAATTACAGTTGACATACTTACTATATTATATTACTTTCAGGTGTATACGTGATTAGATACATAACTTACAAAGTGATCACCCTGATAAATTTAGGACCCATCTGACACCGTACATAATTATTACAATATTATTGACTATATTCTTTTTAAAAAATATATTTTATTGGTTTTCCACAGAGAGGAAGGGAGAAGGATAGAGAGAAACATCGATGAGAGAGAAAGATCAGCTGCCTCCTGCACACCCCACTGGGGATGCGCCTGTACTTTACATCCCCGTGACTATTCTGTAACTATCAATTTGTACTTCTTAATACCGTCAGCTTTTTCATCCCTTACCCTAACCTCCCTCCCATCTGGCAACTGTCAAAATGCCCTCTGTATTTATGAATCTGCTTATCTTCTGCTTATTTACTTTGTTTTTTAGATTGCATGTGTAAGTGAGATCATGTAGTATTTGTCTTTCTCTGACTTATTTCACTCAGCACAATACCTTCCAGGTCCATGCATGTTGTTGCAGATGGCAAGATTTTATTCTTTTTTATGGTTGAATCATATTCCATTATAAATACTGTATACGTTCAAAGGCTGTTAAATTGCATTGTTTACCCATTCCTTCAGAATCACTTCTCCTGTTGTGGTAAACAACCTGCTTCCCTATTTATAATGGTCTAGCCCTCTAGCAACTTCAGCACGAAATTATAGCTAATTTGCCTACAAACATCAGGTGGTCATAATAATCTGGCCACTCAGTGTATATGCACCATTTCTTCTTCATCCATTCATCTGTTCTATTGATGGGCAATTCGGTTGCTTCCATATCTTGGTATTGTAATTAATACTGCAATGAACATATGGATACATATGTCTTCTGTTGTTAATACTCACCCGAGGATATTTCCCTCCACCATTGAGAGAATGGAAAAGAGGGAGAAAGGGAGAGAAATCATCTCCCCCATGCACTCTGACCTGGCCAGGGATCAAACCTGCAACCCAGGTTTGTGCCCTTGACCAGTAATTGAACCCAGGACCCTTCAGTGCGTGAGGTCGATGCTGTAACCACTGAGCACACCCAACAGGGCTGCATATGTCTTTTCAATTTAGTGTTTTAGGTTTCTTCAAATAATTACCCAGAAGTGGAATTGCTGGGTCTTGTTTGTCTCTTGTTATATAACCTTTGTGTTAAAGTCTATTTTATCTTGTATAAGTATTACTTCCCCAGCTTTCTGTTTTTGTTTTTATTTTCATGAAATATCTTTTTACACCCCTTTACTTTCAGTCTATGTGTATATTTCTATCTGAAGTGAGTCTCTTGTAGACAGCATATGTAAGGAAGGATCTTGTTTTATTATCCATTCAGCCAGCCTATATCTTTTATTTTAAAATATGTTTTTATTGATTTTTTATTTTAAGAGTGAAAGGAAGGAGGAGGGAGAGAGAAATATTGATCAATTGCCTCTCATAGGCACCCTGACCAGGGATCGAACCCGCAACCTGGGTATGTGCCCTGACCGGTATCAAACAGGCAACCTTTTGGTGCATAGGACGTCTCCCAACCAACTGAACCACACCATCCAGGGCCCTATATCTTTCGATTGGAGCATTTAACCATTTACATTTGAAGTAATTGTTGATAGATATGTATTTATCGCGATTTTATTGTACATATTTTTAAAAATCTTTCTTCTTTTTCTTAAAGAAAACTCTTTAACATTTCTTGTAATACTGGTTTAGTGGTGATTAACTCCTTTAACTTTTTCTTGTCTAGGAAGCTCCTTATCTGTCCTT